GATACTCAGTTGCTGGCATCTGCCAAAGAATTGATTCCTAATTCCACATCTCCCCTTCGCAGCCCGCACCCCTCAGCAGCGGGCTGGGGAGAAGCATGTTTGCGAATGTCGCCAAGGTTTCCTCGGCTTTGGGAACAGCCACGTTGTTCCATCCTGGTCACAAAATAGACCCAAGTCAGCAAAAGCAAGGCCCTGCTCCACCTGAAGCGTGTCACCCCACAGCAGGGCCTGCCCCTGCACACCCGCGGGCTGAATAACCCTCCATTGTATTGTGCAAACGGCTCCTGCTGTGTTAGCTTCCAATGCAGCCTTCTCCTGTCACTACATTTGCATGCTGACTGTGGAGTGACAGCACTGAATGGGGTTTGCCAGAAGGTTCTTCTCTACTTATCTGGAATCATCTGGATTTCCTGAAGTAAAATCAAAGAGAAGAAAGAGGTGAAAGGAGGTGAAAGGAGCCCCCTTGGGGCTGGCGGGAGGAGTTGAGTTAGTCCCCTGGCAAATCACTTGATGAGGCTTCCTTAAAGTTGAATCAGAATTTAATACCAACCTTAATCACATCACAAAGGAAGGCAAGTGAATGATTAAAAAGACACGGGCATGCAAGCAACTTCAGAACCAGCACTGGCTGCCCTGAGGATTATTACTACACCGCCGTCATCTTTAGCACATCCACATCTTCAGCACTAGCAAAGATGTTGCTCTCAAGTCTCAGAAAATGTCAATGAAGTCAAAAAGATGTCAGAGGTTTGGGGGGGAAAATTAGTAAAATGCAGGGTAGAGTTTGCCAGGGACAAGAAGAGTGCATGGGAAATGGTGGTTCTTCTCTGAGAGAAGGGCCGGGTGGGGGTGGGGGGAGAGGAAGTGAGAAGAGGGCAGACTAGAGGGGGAGAAGGAAAGGGAGAGGAAGACGTCTTCATATCGTCTGCTATCGTGAAAATAGAGGTTTTCCCTAAGGAGACCTCGGAAAACCCACTGAATGAATAACAAAATGGGCCAAAATGTGCAAAAAGGCAAGATAACAGAAGAAAGCTAAATAGCAAATAAACTAGGAAAGCTTTTCAATGATAGTCAATAAACATGTACATTAAATCTATCTACACGTGCTTCTTATGTCAAAAAACGAACTTTACAATTTAGGGGCAGGGGAGGGAAGGGGATGGAGGGGCAGGAAGGGGTGTAGTTGTGGAGATGGGAAAGAAGGGATGGTAAGGGAAAAACAAAGGAGAAGGCAACAATGCTTGGTAAGAAATGTACTTATTACCGTGCTCATTTGATTATAACCCCTCTGACAGTACTTTCACAATAAAAAAAACTTATTTAAAAAAAAAAAGACACACTTCTCTGTGCCCGTAATGGTGACATCAGATTCAGTCTGCAATCACTGAATGCCTGGGGAGATCTGGGGGAATTCTCCCGTGTGGTGGGTACAAATGTGAGTTAGAAAAACCCACTTGGAAGCAAACTTGACAGCACACAGGCCAGCAGAAAACCAAATTCCAGATAAACTGTCACATGTGTGTGCCAAGTGATTCTGTCATTTGCAGTACTCTTTGTAGTGACAAGTCTTTCAGAATAGCTTAAATGTTTATTCCTAAAGAACTGGATAAATCATTGCATAAATTATACCATTTGTGTAAACATTTAAAGTATAAAACAATACTACAAATTGTCTTTGGATATCCATATGTACACACATGTATAGATATATGTATATGTCTGTGTATATATATATGTATATATATATATATATATACAAACAAGAATGTTTGAAAGCCATTTCTGAAGGGCAGAGGAAGGAGAAGGAAACTAGACTTTAAAAAATTATAAAAGACATGTATCTGTAACGTTTTGAGTTTTCAGTCAAATGGAATGGCTTCAGTAAAATGCTCAAGTACTTAAAATTGTTTGTTACAAATAGCAGGTATTTGTTTTTAGTATTCTGTGGGTTTCTTCACTTTGAAAGTTTGCTTTTGGCTAGGAACCAGTGGCTCATGCCTGTAATCTTAGCTACTTAGGAGGTGGAGATCTGAGGATCTCAGTTCAAAGCCAGCCCAGGCAGAAAAGTTCATGAGATCCTTATCCCAATTAACCAACATAATCCAAAGTAGAGGCACGGGTCAAGTAGTAGAGTGCTAGCCTTGAGCAAAAAAGCTAAAGAAGAGTGCAAGGCCCTGAGGTGAAGCCTAGTATATGCACACACACACACACACACACACACACACACACAAATTTTTTCATGAAATCTGCACTATTGAGCCAGGTGCCCATGGCTCACGCCTGGAATCTAGCTACTCAGGAGGCTGAGATTTGAGGATAACAGTTCAAAGCCAGCCTGGGCAGGAGAGTCCATGAGACTCTTTTTTTTTTTTGGTTGGTCATGGGGCTTGAACTCGGCCTGGGCGCTGTCCCTGTGCCCTTCAGTTCAAGGCCAGTGCTCTACGGCTTGAGCCACAGCGCCACTTCTGGTTTTCTAGTGGTTAATTGGAGATAAGAGTCTCATGGACTTTTCTGCCTGGGCTGTCTTTGCACTCAGCCTCCTGAGTAGCTAGGTGGCGTGAGCCACCAGCTCCGGCTCATGAGACTCCTTGAAGGGGCCCTGTGACTTTAGTGGTAGAGCGCTCACCTTGAGCTGAAGAGCTGAGGGACAGCGCCCAGGCCGAGTTCAAGCCCCACAACTGACAAAAAAACAAAAACAAAAAACAACAACAAAACCTACTGCACTTTTAAAACAAACATA